GAAGAGAGGCTTGATAGATGCCACAGTTGCTGCTCCTTAGGCTCTTTGCTGCCTCAAACTGCTACCTTCTGCCTTGTGCTACACTGCCTTGGAGCCAGCTGAGTATGGACTGATACTTGATTCACTGTGATCAAAATAAGACTTTCCTTCCGTAAATATGGATGGTAGGCATTTTGACCCAACAATGAGTAAAAACTGACTGAGACAGAATTTGGTACAATGAGTGGGGTTGTGCCTGTGACTCTAACTGACATTGCAGATCAAGACCTTAGGGAATAGCTTATGGGAAGAGATAGAGAAGTTTTAGAGATATCAACTACAAACAAAGAGCTGGAATAGCTTTACCTGTTTTGTATGGGAGATTTATGCCAAAACTCAAAAAGTAGAATGCTGACAGAATACCTACCTGTAAATACCAGACTGGGGAGGTTTCTGCTGGATAGAATTACTGAATTACCTTCTGGACTCGAGATTATTTGTGGTATGGCTTTGCAGAAAGTTGTCTGAATTTTTGTCATGTTAAGAGACTTTGCTGAGACTAGGTTAACCACAGAGGACTAGTCAATCTGACCAAGGAAATTTCAAGGCAGTTGAATGTTGAGGCAGTGGCATGGCTTGTTGGGGGCTTTTGGTCAAATTTATGTGGAAAATGAAGAGCAAAGAGCCCAGCAGGATGATTTAGAATGTTGTGGGTTTGGCCAGAAAGGAAGCACCAAGAAGGCTGTAGGTTGCAAAATTAGAACTGAAAAGTCCATTGGTCAGCAGGAAGAGGAGAATAGAGAGAATGTCTTGAAGGTATCACAAGAGGCCACAGGTTTTCACACTTTGCAGCCTCAGATCAACAAGTGTGCAGGGCTTTGCTTTGTGGAGAAATTTGCACAGCCCCATTTTCCTGTATGGATGTGGCAACCACAACAGGTAACAGAGTGGTGGTGGAATAGAGAATTTGTTCCTCATAACCAGTGTCAGAGTGCTCATCAATTCATATACGCAACACTACAGACAAGAGGAAATGAATCCTGGTGACTGCTCCTGCTGGCAGCAGACCTTGGCATTGTCAATATGGCATGGGTTTCATGCACAAGGACAATGCAGGAGTTCTGGTGTTAGGAAGGCTTCCGACCTGATTTGGGAATGTTTGGGAGGCCAGGTAGTGTGCCTTTGTAAGGACAA